TGATATGTCACCTATTTAAATGTGTATGTATTAAAAAATATTACATCAATAAAATTTCAACAATTGTACATCAAATGTATAAACAAATAGCATTACAAATACTTTCCTAAATAAATATTAAACAACCATGTCATCATCTCCTTCTCTGGATGATAACTGAATTTGATTCCTGTTACAAAAAAAATTTTAACAAATATTTCAGCTTTTTGGTATTAAAATATTTGGAAATTCATATTTACAAAAAAATAGTTCGCATATTCATTATATATGTTCTAATTGCATAGTTCAAATGCAATTTTCTCTCTCAGTTCAATCATTTCATTCACCCTCTCATCATCACCAAACTCTACTTCGGCATATAACACATTACTTTCTTCAATTTGCTCTCCTACTCTGCATTGATGCCTCTGGATGAATAAAATTTTCATCAATGTCACAGTCTATGAATTTTGGATCATTTCGTGATATATGTCGTCGAATATAATTATGTAATCCCATGGTACCAACATCAATAAGACGCTGCTTCTTAAATTTATAATTAGGCATATCTCTTAATATTCCCCATTTCTTTTTCCTTACACCAAAGGAACGTTCAATTACACTTCTTAGTGAGGAATGTTTACTATTAAAAAGCTCCTTATGTCCCATAATAGTTCTACTACCTCTTCTAAAATCAGGTAAGTGATATCTGGTTTCAATGTATGGCTTCAAATATCCCCTTTGTAGAGGATAACCTGCATCAACTAAGTAAAACTTTCCTGTTAAAAAATTTGTTAATTAGTATACAATATAACCTAATTAATAAATATAATAATTTCATTCTATAAATTAGTAATACCTAAAGGTGGTGCAAGAAAATTATATTTCGGATCCATCACTGCATGTTTAAATATACGTGCATCATGTGTCGAACCCTCCCAACCAGGTGAAACAAATGTGAAGCACATGTTGAAATCACATGCAGCCATAACATTTTGTGTCGGTGAATGATGACGTCCAATGTAAGCGACATGCTCTTCAACAGGGATGCGTGCATCAACGTGTGTGCTATCAATAGCACCAATGTAATCTTTAAAGTATGGCATGTAACGCTTGTCATTAATTATTTTTTCAGGAATATCATGGAAAAATTTATCTACAGGTGCAATGATCTCCATTGATAATTGAACTAATGCTTGTAGACCATTATAAAAAAAACCTACTAATCGTCTTTGTAGAGTGTTGAAATCGTTCACATGTTGATCTAATA